AAGCATCAGAAAAATGAACTGGGAAGCATTTCAATTTTATCTTAGTGGATTGTGACATGTAGATACAGAACCAAGTATTGCATTTCGTCCTGTGCAATAACAGTGGCAGATTCTTAGGTATCTTTATGATTTTTTTTTGATATTATAAAAACATGTGCAATGACATCTCCTAAATGGAGCTTCTCTGTTACCTATATACCCTCAGCAGTGGCAGAACTGCATGACTCTTCAACTAGTTTGAGTGCATGATAGTGGAGTATCTCACAGAGCAGAAAAGAGAGTGGATAGAGCAAATCTGGCCTCAAAATTTTGGGACAATATCTGAGTGGTAAGTGGAGGAATATGCTTCTCCTACCCAACTTCAGACTCAACAATACCCTGACATCCTTTCAGACCCTTACAGGAGAGTGTAAGCATCTTGCAAAGAGGGAAGGCTTCAGAAACTACAGCTCAGTCAATCTCACATCAGTTCCTAGCAGGATTATGGATGAGAGGCCCCTTAAAATCATTACAAAGTAGACAGGGAAAGAAGGCAATTGGAAAAAAGTGAGCATAGAGTTAGTAAAAGGCAAGCAGCACCTTATTTGCTGTTCTTGCAAAAAGAGAAGAATGCACAAGAAGAGTGTATGGGAGGAGGAGTATATGTCCTTCCTCAACTTCATAAAGGTTTTTGATGTGATCTCCTATGCTGCAACTTTATAATTTGATCAAAGAGTGAAGCTCAACAAAGATTCTTGTCTCAGAAAAAGAATTTGAGGTTCTCAAAAAGGCACCCCAGGCCCATACATAAACTTAAGTATATGCAATGATGTGGCTGGAATTAGCAAAAGTTAATTCTATTTTGATGATTATATACACTCAGAGAAAAAGAGATGAAACAAATATATAATAGATTTGCTTTTGTCAAGATTGATCCAGGTTTGGAAATAAAATAAAGTTCTCTACATATTTACACAGATATTCAGTCTCTAGAGTAAAAACACCTGAAAGAAGTCCTACTTTGAACCACATCTGCAATTCTTAATTCATATACAATCACATATTTTAAAATACAAGTTACACAGGCAGTTTTCAGAGTTTCCCCTGTTAAGTTAGAAGTTCATATATATTCACTGTTTCTTGTTTTCTTGACATTTTCCCAAAGACTTTTAACTCAATTATCAAATTCTGTGCTCTCTAAGGATATCACTGGAAAACACATTTTAATTTCAGAGACTATATTTCTAACATTATTAATTGTTAAAAAAACCCCACAGTAATACCTTCTACTTTAAGGGACAACGGCTTACTTCTATTTATGTAATGGAAACAATTGAACAAAAAGAAAACTGGATTTTCTTCAGCCCTTGAGAACTGTATGTGTAAATGAAAACGATTAAAAAAAAATCCAGGAATACATTCTCAAGAAAAGACCATGAACCACTTTTATTGTTATACAGCAAGCTAATAAGACTGTACCTTGATTGTTTCCATTCAAAACTGCAATAGTATGGGGTCAGTAGCATGATAATAAAAACATTTAATTGAGAAGAACTAAAATAATGAAATCATTCAGGATGTTGCATTATGTGTTATTTGATTTCATGCATCTCATTAATGAGACACTATAAAGAAYGTAGTTTGCATCATATCAATGCAAATGATACAAACATGGGAAATACAACATAGCCTCGATTAAACTTACTGGTTTCAGACTAGCAATTTGAACAAAAGTCTACAGCTAGACCATTCATAGTAAAAATGTAATTCTCTGCAAAATTCCATTCATAGAGTATACATGCCCCAGTTTCGGGGATATAAAGATGTCAATTCAGGATCAAATGATCAAATCAGGATCTGCTCAGGTTCTGATGCATCATTTCAAGTTGTAGCAAGCAGTGAAGCCATTTGATGAAAATACAGAAATTTCTTCTCCATGTAAAAATAGAATTGGGGGTAGGAACACATAATTCTGTGGACACCACTACCTGGAGAGCAAAGGACAAAGCAAGAGGAGCAGAGCTAGGGAAACAGCCCACTGAGTAGCATTCTCATTGACACAGCTTCTACAGAAAAGAAAATATTCATTTTAGTCAAGACCTGGATTTTTCACTACTACCTTAGGATAGAAAATTTGATCCTGTCAGAAGATAATATCACTAGAAATTTTCTTTTAAGAATTCACATACATTTGTTTCCCAACTGACTTAAATCTAGGTATTTTAGCATTTACTTTGAATATTCAAGATTTCAGGGAGGCAACCACAAGATAAAAGGAAGTTTTTCAACCTATACACAAAGTTCAATATCATTCTCATAATAAAGCAGGTTAAAGTTTGCATTTAACACTGTATAAATGATCTTATTTGGGTATCTAGGTATGCAAGTGGTGATTTCAGCATCTGTAATCATCTGTTACACTAGCAAATCTAGCCACTCAGACCTAAACTGCAGCAGCAGAGCGCTCAGCTCAGTCTACCCACTCAACAGACTTTCAGGCACTCTCACCAGCAGTAATTCACTGTCAGAATCAGAGGTGAACACTGCCCTCTCAATGAACATTTTTATCACTTTCAGATCCAGCTTACAAAAAGACAACGCCAGCTAATATGCAAGAATTCCAGTCATGCCCCTTAGGCACAGCACAGAACACCCACTGCCGTACCTCACTGCTAATAGCATTGGATTTCCACCTCACTCTGCTCGGTGCTGCAGTGGGAGAACAGTGAAGGATTGACCTCCTGAGCTGAGAGCCCTACATGGAGATCCCTCAGAGACCATTCCACAAACCACGCTCCAGTGCAGAGGAAATACCCCTGTCCTGCAAATTTACTACTGAATATGTTACAAGTCATCTTGWGAGTTAATCAAACAGTGCTACTTCAATGGATATGTTCTTTTATAGGGGAATGAGTAAACTGGCTTAGAGACTAACTCTCCTTCTAGAAAATAAGCAATGATATGTCAGCTTCACAGAATATTTTAACTCCAGTGTACATCAAACTAAAGTCACTATTGCTTCCATGGAAAAGGCAAACATTCCAGTCTGTATCACTCCAAGTAAACACTAAAAGCAGGATAAGGTGAGCCAGATAACTGCTCAGAATCCACAGTCAGAATTGACTAGGTCTCTACTGATTGTGATGAGAACTCAGAAAATCTAGCTTTTAGATTTCTACAGCATTGTACAAAGTGCCGAAACAGCTGTCACATGCAGATGCCATATAGCTGCAGAAACATGCTGCAACATTGCAAAACTACCATTAAGGTGAATACAGCCCCAGAGGGCTTTTTCATCAACCATTCATGGCATTCACATTTGCATACACGAGTTCCTGAATTTTAGCACAACAACTATTGAGCAAGTTGACCAGATTGGAAAATGAACCTAGTTCACAAGTGCTGCAAGATGAAAATAAAGCCTGCGCAAATACCACTTTTTTATCTAGGTGACAAGTGCCTCAAAGTTAATACATATAAGTAGACCCAGAACACCAAAAATATTCTACTTGAATTATTTTGTCTAGTTAATGATCAACTCCACCTTCTGCTGGTTTGAGAACATTTTCTGACAAGTGTCTGTTTTTCATGAGCCTCACAGGACTAGTGGGACCTTATGTTAGGCATCGGGCAGATTCTACATCCTTTTCCTTTACAATAATTACATTTTTGTGCATTTTTTTCTGACATTTTGTAGCAGCTAAATGAAATTAGGACCCTACCTGAGTCTCATTACTATCAGTATTTTGGAAACAAAAGTTTGCATCCTCACTTTAGCAGAACCAATATTCTGTGATATGAAGCACTGGGTAAGAAAATACTCGAAATCATAACTCTCATGTACAGTAACAGGACATGAAACAGTAATACACACTTTCCACTCACAAAAAAGAAATGGGCAAAACACACACATGATGACTAATGTTCTACAGCCTTGAATGGAAAGTATGCTCCCTGCAAGGTTACTTTAATATTATAAAAGCTTCCATTACCCAGGATAATACTGCTACTCTATTAAACATTGAAAGATCTTAGCTTTATAGAAAAAGAGGATGAAGAGACTGCTTCAAAGATTTATTAAAACTAGAGAGAACTAATTAAGAGAACTGGGAAACTGTCATGATCTTGTTTGTGAGTGTACTCAAGACTTTTCTTAGATACATAGAAGTCAGATTTCAAAAGGCAAAATTTTCCACAAAGGCAGTTAGGGTCAACATACTTGTGATTTCTGTCAAATGTTGCACTGTGCACATTAAAATTCTTTGAAGATGATTGACTGAAAGCAAATTTAACATTCTTCTCTGGTCATAGGTGATCTCTTGCATGATAAAAAGAAGAATCTTCCAGTATTTAATTTTTTTTTAAATTAATTGACAATGTTAATATAAACAGCGTAACTGAATCAAAACATAAGAGTTAAAATGAGCTACACTGAATTTCTTAGTACATATCTTTGTTTTTTTTTCCTCTGTAATAATCTGATGCTATATAATAATTACATTTAAATAACATTAAAAAGGGTTTGCTTTGACAAAATAAATCCTAGAGACATTACCTAACATAGCAAGATTTCCTCTACCTAATGCGCAAAACAAACCCAAACAAAAATTATAATTAAAAATAGAATTAAAAGATAAAGAAATCATCATAGCTAGTGACAGAAAGAACTATTCCTTATTTCACTGCATTTTCCATTTATCACTATCTTGTTTTTCAGGATTTCACATCAAATGAGAGTCAAATGTTCCATTCCCAGTGCTGAGGTCATTTGAAGCATAAAATATACATGCTTTGAATCTCCTTTCTTTAGGATAAAATATTTCTTTTAAGAGGCAAGCATGGTTTCAGAAAAAAAAAATCCTTTTTGACATGAAGGAAGCTTTCACTGCTAAGGTATTTTCAAAGCAAACCTCTACTGATTGCTAATCGAGGAGGTGTAAGAATTAAACTTTGTAGTTTGAGACTGGAGAGATCAATTTATATTAGCTGCAAATTAAGAAATAAAGATGAAAAACACCTACCTTTCGGGAATGGATTTCTTTCACATATAGTGGAAGTAGAAATTCAGATATTCCTTCAAGTCGTATTCCTTTTTTAGTGACTCTCAAATTTCCCATTCCATCCTACAATTAATAATATATATACATATTCACTTAAGGAAATAACCTTATCCAGAACAAGCTAAAAAGAACACAGTAGTTGGCTTAATCCCTAAAAATAATGAGTGCTGTCCTACTGCCCCCAGCTCTGCTCATGATCTTGGGCAGCAGGTGGATGGGCACATTTATAGCCAAAGCTTCACCTAGGACTGAGGTATTTAACTGTGAAACCTCATGGTGATCTGCATACATGATTTCATTATTTCATTAGGCTGCAGGGATACAATGCCAGGATACAACTGCAGATCATCATTTATTTCCTGTGTAGAGGCAAAACTAGATCCTGAATTTTACAACTGCTCAGTAAAAAATGAGTTAATTTTCTCTGTCTATATATAACATTTGGTAAAGGAATTTATTAATTGTTTTATCTTGAATGCAGGGGTTTTGGTTTTCCCAATAATTAAATTACATAAGAAAATATCATGCAGAAAGAAACAAAATGTTTTTTAGCGGTTGTTCGTCACTACTAGGAGTATGTTGCTGATGAACAACTTCAGTAATGCTGAAGGTTGTTTTTGATTCCTTGTCTTTATTTATCAAAATAGAAATGGGAAAGGTACCATTGTAAAGCTCTGGAGGAAACAAGCAAACCACATGATTCAATATTCAATAAGATACAAGCATAGAAAAGTGGCATAATAAGGCTTCAGCTGCATTCTTACAGAAAAAAAACAATGAAGCACACTTGATACTCAAGAGACAAAAGCATTTTGCACACTGTTAGAAATTCAAGACTTTTTATCCCTAGAATTTTGTTACTGTATTTGTGATAGAAAAATAATTCTTCACTGTACAGCCAGTGGAATTCAACTTGATCCACTTAAATACAAAATAAGCAGATTTAATCTAATTGCTAATTACATATTTCAAAGCCATTGTTGACTCTGCTGTACTGGAACAATGAGAACTTGCACTTGTGCTCTGCTGGCTGAGCTGTGAAAGCAGTAACCTCTGCCTACTGAGTAAACAGCTGGATAACAATCCTCAACTGCTATAGCTGAGTTGTCAAATAATGCTTCTTAAGAAAGTGATGTTATATGTTAAAGTATTTATCTTAAATTAAGTAATATTTATACAAACAACTTCACATATATAACCTCAGGCATTTGTAGGCTTTCTAAGAAAAAGTGCAATACAAAACAGTAATGCCTGTTTTTGAAAAGGAACTATGATAAAGAAATGAGAGTTTGTTTGGAATGTGCAATCTGGACTAAAAAAAATTAATTCTCAATTTGACCAATCCTATAGTAACAGATTATAAAATTTTAATAGGAAAAAGTAACTTGAGAAAATACAACAATCACACTAGAATTTTTTGGCAGGGAATTAAAACAAGAATTAGATACCCATCTATTGATTTGGATATAGACACACTTTTTAACGGAAAAGGCAAATCCAATATTTTGTTTTATCTGCTTCTGTGGAATGTCTGCAACCAATACACACAATATAATATTCACAATAAAAATGGGGGAGGAAGGAAAAGGAGGAAGTGAAAAATAAACACCAAATATACAAAAATGTCAAGTCAAGCTTTCAGAAAAATAGAAATGCTGAAATTAAAGTTGTCTGGGAAACTTCTATCTGCTCTATCTTGCAAGTATGTGTAGGATAAAATTCTATAATTAGATCTAATATTTACCCTCCTGAACCTCAGTTAATTCCACACAACCTTGCCACAAACCTCAGTCAGAAGCTACTCACTATTCTGCTTTCACCTTGTTATTGTCTTTGTTCCTCATTTATTGCACTCAGTGAAATCTCTGCTTTGAAGAAAGTACTGTCAGTTTTCCTCTTGACTTCTGTTCTCATAAGCATTTATTACTGAAGTTAGACAGCTCTTCACAACTATTAATTAATTTTCAAAATACTTTCAATAACTTTATATTGTAGTACTTTTCTATGTTATTGATCGAGGCGCAAAGCACAAAAATATATTTATTCACCATTTTTGGATACTTATCATATTTTCTCTGTTTTTTTTTTCAGCAACGGGGGGTTAATTCATACAACAAGTTTAAACTGTCAGAGTCTCAGAAACAAAATAATGATAGAGCTTCCTGTGTCCATAAGAGCTTACATTTTTCTGAGTGTTATTTGTAAGTATTCATTCTTTAGTCCTTCAACAGTGAGATATCCTTTTAGCAGAGGCCAACAGATGGAATGCAGACAGACTCTGTACAGACGGAAACACTCTGGCTTTAGTAAAATTATATTATTCAACATAAGAAGACAGACACTATATTCTGGAACCTAAGTCACAAAAGGTACTATAAAACTGGGATAGGGTGACTATAACCTCAATTGCTTGATAAGTGCAATAATCTTCCAGACGATAATTTCCTGAAGTGTGTAATGACTGACATGAAATAAGATTGGACAGTAAAATAAAGTAGTCACACATGTACTATTATCACATGCTTAATGAAGACTACCTTATTCAAATAACTACTTCCCAGGATGATTTTTCATCAAGATCTCCCCACCAGGTTTAAACAGGAGTTAGAGTAAGAAGAGTTTCTTATTTCATTGAGTTAGAACTATACAGTTACAGAGAAAAATTAAAGGGTTTTCAGAAGTAACACAACTTGTTTAAAAAGTTATTCATATTAAAAAGATTATTCAGAGCAAGGTCCTTACGCTTCAATGAACTATTCCAGTATTTTCTTAAAATAAGCAAATGACAAGATCACACACTGGGACTGACTGGGATGGGAGTTTTCTTTCCTCACAGCAGCCTGTATGGTAATGTGCTTTGGATTTTTGGCTAAAACAGTGCTCATAACACATACTGATGTGTTATGCTTTAGCTAATCCTGAGCTGTGTTTCCATAGTGTCAAGCCTTTCTCTTTTTTTTCCCCCTCTCTGACCCCAAAGAAGTAGAGTGGGTACGGCCAAGGAGTTGAGAGGGAACACAGCTAAGCCAAATGACCCCAAGTGGCCAAAGGGGTATTCCAGACCTGTAACATGATGCTCAGCAAGAAAAGGTGATGGTACAAGGAGAAGGGAGCTGGAGGCATGGAGGGACAGAGAGAACAAGGATTGTCTTTGAAAGTGGCCACTGCTTGGATTCAGTCTGCGATAGGTTGTGTGTGGTTGCCTTTGCATCACTTTATTTCCCCTTTATTATTATTCAATATTTATTATTATTTTGTTTGTTATGCCATGCACAACTTCCCATTTTTTCTCATTTAAGAATAGGAAACAAACTGCAACCCTGCCTAAGCAACTAAGAAAAACAATCCCTTAACTTAACATTCATAAAAACCTTATAGAGATTGTAAAAAAAACCAGAAATAAAAAAACAAACCATCATCACTATCATTATTTTATGATGATGGTTTTTGTATTCTTAGTACATCGCATTTCAGTTATTAAAACCAGAAATTCAAATAGGCACCTATTAAAATAGGAAAAAGAAACTTTTTTATGCTCTTTATCTTACAACTGCATCAACCCAGGAAGAGTTTTACTGACTTTGAACACTACATTAAAGTCAATGAAGTCCTAAACTATACTTACTATAAATCTCTGATAATGAGAGCAAACCTTTGAATCAGAGCATAAAAGAACTCCCAAAAAATATTCTGGGAGGAAAACAAAAAATACTGACATTCAAAGCTTTTTCAAGCTTTAACCTGCTTAAAAACTGGCAGAGATTAATGTTCTTTAAGGATCCTGTAAATGGTATATAAGAAAAGTAGAAGTTAATTCACACTGTCTTTACAGAGGAAGGAGGGTCTTTTAAAAGACCAAGTTTCTTCTTCACAATGTGCTGAGAATTCTACAAGGATGCATCACTTATACAGCCTGGATTATTTCAGCCCAATAAACTATTACACCACCATGTTTTGTGATAACTACAAAATATATTCTAAAACTATGAATACTTCTCAACAAGTCAGGAAGTTGGCTTGTTGAGAAGCCAACAACAATCTACTGTAGCCTATGCCTAATCTTAAATACCAGAACTAGTCTGGACAACACATATTGCTATCTAATGAAATAGGTAATGTAGTGCTTTTATTGCTCTCTCTCTCATTTTTCCTTTTTATTTTTTTTTTTTTTTTAATTATTTAAACACTAAGGCATTCTAAGAAAGAAGAAGGGGATAAGGAATTCTATATTAGTTGCTGATAAAACAGAAGTACACAAGAACAGGCTTAGCAGTGTAAATGATAGAGCCAGTTCTCTGTGATACAGATGACAACATCTGGAGACCTAGGACAGGATTCAGCATACTGGCTTAGAAGATCATTAAGCTGCAGCTTTAAAGCCCAGCTGTGGAACTATTTCATTAGAAATAACATTTTGGAAGACAGTAACTAAATCTTACAAACTCACTCCACCAAGATGAAATAACACTTACTTGTATGARACCAAATCCATACCTTTAATATTACAAAATTCTAAAAATCTATGGGTAACGTTATATGGAAGACATGACAGTGGAGAAAACACCTACAATTTCTGCTTAAGACCACTGAATCCAAAAATCCTTGGTCTGGAGAAAACAAGTTGGAAGGTGTCATGCTCCAGTTCAGGAATGAAAACTCTCATAAAGTGAAATGAGAACAGGGTTTTGATAGATGCTTCAAGAATTTATCATGTAACTTGTGGACAGTTAGAAGGCAATAAAGGACTCAGCTAACTAAAATGTGTGCTTTTTCCTTAGGATCATGGCTTGCATGCAGAAACATTGTGAAAAGCAAACTGAAGTGCTGATTACTCTGAATTGACAAAAAATTAATAAACAATATTTCAAATTTCAAATTTGCATGGTGTTTTTTTCTGTTTTCCTTAGGAATAACATACACCAAATGCATGTTTCAGTACATTACTGCAGGAACAACCAAGTAGTTGGTGGGTCATAAAATCCATTGGTAATGGTAATATTCAAGGTTTTCAAAAGATGAGGTTAGATGTGATATACTCCATGTTTTCTGAGTATATATTTAAA